TAGTGTCTACATCATTTATTTCAGACTGTGAAAAACTGCTGCAATCGGTTATATTTTTATAATCTTAATGGATTTTCTTTTAAAAAACCACCATCGCCTCATTTTATGAAGAAAAATATTTTATTGAAATATTTTTCTTCATAAAAGCGATCATTTTAAACTTTTATCCTATTTCTCTCAACACACCGATGAATTTCCATATTTCTCTCAACACACCGATGAACTTTTATCAATTGGAAGAATATTAATCACGCTTTCAGAGCATAATGTAGAATGTTGTATAGTGTTACATTTCTCGCGTAAAAATATGGATAAAAATAACTTTTTTGACAAAAAAATGATGGCATACGTTTATGTGAGTTATGGATAAACTTTGACCCTTCTTTTTTTGACTTATCCAAAAGAGAAAAAATGTTTTCTCAGTGTTACAAAATTTGTTTTCGTAATTTTGAATGTAGTTTCAGGGCCGACGTCACGGGTTTCGAAGTGGGGGGAGACCAACGTTTATTCTTGAAAAATGTCGAGTCTTAAAAAAAATTATCTAGAATTTTCTTACATTAAAAAAAATATATATATCCTTTAAAAAAAAAAGTGGGGTGCACGTGCCCCCTGCCCTCTCCCCCCCCCCCACCCGTGTCGTCGGCCCTGGATTTACAAAGCGGACACGATTGCGTAATTTAGGTGTTGCTTTACAAAGTGAACACGATTGATAAGACAGCGTTTTAGTGATTTCTGCTAAAACCTTTCCATCGATGGCTTTTAAAAATAAAGAGCTTTTGATATTAGGAACTTTTCCATTTAATATCATGTGGCACAATATCAGAAAATTCATATGCCGTTTAATAATAAATTTTGTTTAAGAATAAGAAAATTCGAGAATTTATTTTTTTTAGAAAGTTTTAAGGTCTTCAAAATTTTTGTACAATTGGGTTGGTTTGTACAATTGTGTCAAAGAAAATTGAGTTGTAAGAACAACTTTCATCAAACTTTTGATCGAATCAGGAAAAAACACAGGCTCCATCAAATCCCCAATATACAAGAAAAATTATCTCAATTGTGTCCTTTTCTTTGTCAATAATTTTAAATACAGTTTTAAATCAAAATTATTTTAAACAATTTTGTTTTAAAGATACGCTCCACGAAATGATATAGAAAATTGGTTAAGATTAATTTTCGAAAATTCATCAAAAATCAAAACTTTGTAAATCGTATTTATTATTTTTATTTTGTTATAAATAATCTACGATATAAAATGTATATCTTTAAGCAGTAAAATAAGCAAGTTTAAAACATGTCTTTAAACATCTATGATATAAAATATAAATTGCAATATTTTATTTCCAACAGATCAAGATTTGTAAATACTTTGGATTTATTATTTTAATTAAATATTTTTTTTTTTAAATTCTTATTATATATCAGCTCGATTTTTTAATATACTTTTTTTTAATGTTCAAATGTGATATGAACCCATCTCCGGGTTTTTTTTCGATAAGTTGTATAGGGAAAAGTCAGGCAGCCGCGGATACTCGAGGAAAAAATAGATTCTACACATAAACTAACAGAAAAAAAAAGTGTCAAAAAACTATTTTAAAAGTTTAAACATTTGCATATCGAGTAGAAACAAAATAATAGTTATTGTATACCTTAATAATATACCAAACATAAAAGAAAACATGTTGGAAAAAAGGCATGTTTCAAAATTGGAGAGTAGCCCATGACACATGGTTTAACCATAATTTTGCCTCTTTTTTTTACAAGTGTGACACAAATGTAGTATAAAATAATTTAGAATTTAACTGTTCTTAACACATTTTAAAAATATCGCCTTTAAAAACTGCCTCTGATATATAAGGAATGGGAATGAAAATGTCATCATTTTTGTATAAACATTAGCTTTTTATTAACAAAAACTTTTCAAATCTAAGATTACTTAATTGGAATTATATGAATTACTATTATAGGTTTGTGTATTATAATAAATGTGTTAATATTTATATAGAGTTGTTTATTTTTAATATGTAAACGGATTTAAGTTGCCCGGAACCACCCTCCAAACATGTGTCCGATACCACCCGATCACCCTCATTCACAAATACTAGTATTAAAACCAGTGAATTAAAGTTTTAAACGAATTTTTTTAAAAAACAATTGTAAATAAAAATCTTTAATCAATAAAAAGTTATTAATTTACATAAAAATTAGATATGTTAATATGTGAATCAAATATGATGATACTTTTTTTTTACTTCAACATATGTTTTGCTGTTCATACAATTAAAAAATACAAAACACAAAGAAACGTTTTCAAAAACAAAGAAACGTTTTCAAATACAAAGAAACGTTTTCATAAAATAAAAATAAAAATAAACGATTTATATAAACATACAGGGACTCAAAAAAGATATGCATGACCCAAGTCATCACAATCTTTTCATAGAACCCCTATAAGGGTGCACAAATGCCGGGGTGACTCTTTATGATTAAAAAAACAAACATCTTGTAGGCAGTGTCTTACTATAAGGGCTATTAACAAGTGTAAAGTAAAATGAAATTGTTATAAAACTTGTATAAAACTCCGTTAAAATATGAAAAAATAAGCATCTCCGTTATATATTTAGAGTAAAAGACAATAAAATAGAATGAACTCCTATAAGTATAAATTAAGTTATATTAAAAATAAAACAATATTAGAAATTAAGTTTAACAAAAAGGTTTCTATATCAAAATTCAAAGCTTTCATTTTATTTCAAAAGTTCTCTTTTTATATGAAACTTAAAGATACATTACTCTTCTGGTGGTGGAAAACAATATCTTGCACTCCTAGCCAATTGCTTCGGCATATTATGATAGATATTTTGTATACATCATATTTTCTCTAAAGTAATGTTATTATAATATTTAAAATCACATAGTTTCTTTAGTTTTAGCTTTACATCTGAAGTTACCTGCCATCCGGGGCTACCCGACTTTTCCATGCATTAGTAGGTAGAAATAAACAAAGCTTAAAAAATAATAGTTTATTTTGGCAACCAATTTTTAAAGAATAATTTTGTAAAATCAATTCATTTCGTGGAGCTTCTTTTTTGAATGAAATAGTTTTAAAATGTTTTAATTTTTTTAATGGAGCCACCTCTCATTAAAGAATATGCTTAATAATAATAATACGGAGTATCATTGTCTGACCGAGTAAAAAGGCGAAATGGTAAGCGTTTGTAGTTGTAATACGTGATTGTGATACGTCCGTGATTGTGATACACATCATCACGCTGATCAGCGTGATTATGTGACACCGATGATGTGATTTTTACACACCTTTAGTACCTGGTTGATTTTTACACACCTTTAGTACCTTTAAAACTATTCGGGGGGGGGGGGGGGGAATCCATAAGAGACGTCATGCTTATAGGGGGAGAGGGAGAAGGTCAAAATAAAAAGGACAAAAAAGGGCAAAGGGAAGAGGTATCAGATAAAGACGTCACGTTATATAATTTTTTAATTGTAGTTTTAATAACATGGAAAAATATGTAAACATGTGTTTTAATAAAGTCAACGTAAGGGAACGTAATGTTGTTAGTTATCGTAATTAAAGAAAAAATCCGTGTTATATATATATATATATATATATATATATATATATATATATATATATATATATATATATATATATATATATATATATATATTTATTGTAGGTGTTCCAAGAAGACCAAACTGTCAGTTCACAGAGCGCTGTGGAAGAGCATTTAAATAGAAATTTCACGCATCACGCCGTGGATGCAAAAAATGCCCTGAGCCCGCATTAAACTCTTGTTTCTAAAGTAGGCGCTTTAACCACTGCGCCACGAATGAAATCAGAGCCGTGGCTAGGCTACCCCACATCCGTATAGAAATGGGTGGAGGGGTATATTTTTTTTTTATATGATAAATTATTTTTACTTTTGTCTTCTGCCTGCTCCCATCACAACTTAGCTCAAAAAAATATTGTAAATAATTTATTATGAAGATGACGAAATATATATATATATATATATATATATATATATATATATATATATATATATATATATATATATATATATATATTTAACATATAACGAATTTTGGAGGTCTTTTTACACTCTTTTTAATAATACCATATTGTCGTATTTTCAGTATTTTCAGTATTTTTTTTTTTTTTGGGGGGGGGCGGGGGCGGGGGCTTAAACTTTCTAGCTACGATAGCGCATGTAATACTTTTCCTTAATACTACAAATGTATTTTTTTAAACAGCTATAACTTCGTGAGGGTTATTATTAATTTTGTCCAGTTTTAAAGCTATTCTGTCCGACTGTGCGATGGTTGTTTAATATTTTAAAACGGTATAGCTATTTATTATTTATTTAAAATGTATTATTATATAACTGTTCTATTATTATATTAACTAGCAAATTTTAGTAAACATGATGATCAATAGCAGTGACGGATGAGGTAGGAGGATGGGATGTGGGTAAGAACCCCCCACCACCAGAATCTAAAAGTCCTAAAATATCTTTGAAATTGAGGACTTTTTTTTTTAGGACACGCAATGTGGTACCAAATACTAGTGATGTAAATTTTCGAGTAAAATTTGATTAAAAAAATTAAAAAAAAAAATAATTAAAAAAAAATAAGTGAAAAAAAATTGTAAAATTTACCAGGCGGTAAATTTTACTACCAAATACCAAAATATTTTAACATACCCCCTCCCCCGCTTCCCCACATTCACACCAAAAATTCCTGGATCCGTCACTAAATAAATAGATTAACATATCGACAAAATAAATATTAAAATTATTATTATTAAAAAAAAAAGGTTTACAAATAGTCACCTTATTATTGGAATTATACACGTTGTTAAATACGAGTTAAACATTTAGAGTAAAGCGTCATAAGGATAAAAACGTCATAAAAAGATTGAATAATTCATTTGTAATCGAATGATTAAATCGTTTTATGACGTTACAACAAAAATTGCTCCATCTAAAACCGTAGTTTTATGTGTAATAATTTATATATATAATACCATGAATTCAGATTTTATTCAGCAAAGTATAAACGTAAAAATTTAATAACTTATGCCTGATGGTATGTCACTATGCAAATTATGTGACACTATGAAGTCCGATTTTATGTTCCTGAAGCCTTTTTTAAAGACTGAAAATAATTTGAATAAATTGAAAGCCAATCGAAATTGGTGCACATGTGAGTAAGCTATACATAACTTTAAACTCTAACTTTCCATTTTTATGAAATATTTTGTGAAAAATCTTTTCACAAAAACTTTTTTCCCTTTAATATTTTAAGACTTTTAATCGATACTTATTAGTTTTTCATTTACCTTGATTTTTCTATTATTTTTTTGATTTTGATTTTGAGTTTTAGATTTTTTTAAAAGTTGATATCATATTTATATTTTTCAAATTTATTAAATCAAAATTAGTTTTTATACCTATAATTAAATTTATACTTAGTTATCAATTAAAGTATCTTAAACTCAAAAATTAATTTCTATTATATCTAAAAATAATAATTTCTTTTAATTTCTATATTATCTAAAAATATGATAATGTTATAAGAATTAGTTTCAATACAATTCAATACAATATAATCAAATGCAAAAGTGAAAGAAAATTTAAAAACAAAAAAAAAAAAGTTTAATGAAAAAGTAAGTAATTAGAGAAGTTCAATGTTAAAATAATTATTTAAACTTGATATTAAATTTCTTAGAATGAAAAATTTATTCCACAAATAAATCAAACATTAAAAAAAAAAAAAGTCTTGCATATCCTTCTAATTTAAAAAATATTGATAAAATTTCTTTTTTTTTCTAATTATAGTATCAATTTTTATCACAAATATTTAGTGTTTTTTGTTTTTATTGATCTAATTTCTTTTCATACTTTCAGGTTAACAAAGGCTGTTGTTTCACAAAATATTTACATATGGCTGAGAGTGTTTGAAGTGGTTGAGCCAATGTCAACAAAATAAAACATGAAATTACTTTTATGCTTTATGCCAGAAAACTTCTCATTTATGGTTGAACAGTTTTTTAGCTTAATCTCTGAAATAGAAATTTTTTATGAAAACGGTAGAATTTAAAATTTGGTTTGTTTATTTGTTTGAAAAAAAAATTAAATTTTGTTTTGTTTTGGAAAAACAATTTAAAAAGTGTCTTCTAAAAAAAACATTGTGTACATTACTAAGTGTGTAAGTTGTGTCACAATAATTCAATGAAAAGATAAAATGTAATAAATTAAAATCTAAAATTTATTGGTTGTAAATCTAAGTGATAATTAATTATTATATGAATGTAAGAAATTATGTTTTCAATTGCACAATTTTAAAAACAAAGAGTTTGGTAAACCTTTTAAAAAGAATTTTTTTTTAAATACAGGAAACTTTATGAAACACCTCAATTAAATAAATTCTTTTTTGTCACAAATTTACTGTACAGCAATTATCTTTTCTTTTTTTTAAAATATTTTTTGTTGGATTAAGTATTATTACTTCTACTGCTATTATTATTTTTATTGTTATAAATATTTATTTTTATTATCTTTTTTATTATATATAGTATTATTATTACTATATTGCTAATAATATTGTTATTATTATTTTTGTTATTATTATTATTGCTATTATTATTGTTTTTGCTTTTAAATTTGTTGTTATTGTTAATATACTGTATTGTCATTGCATATTTTTTGTTCTTATTGTTGCAGATACAACCATGAGCATTAAGCGGTTGAAAGGAAGATTTGGCAAAAGTAGCACTTATTCATTATCTTCCCAAATTTCAATGGTATGTTTTAAATATATATATATATATATATATATATATATATATATATATATATATATATATATATATATATATATATATATATAATTTATGTATTGAAAATTGTAAAAAGTAGATATATTAAATTTGTTTCTCGATTATTATTTACAATTGTTTGAGATATTATTGCATAATATTATGTATTTACAGTGTTTAATAACCTACAAAATTTATGTTACCATTAATTTATATACTTATAATAACCCAGCAATTATATAAACCAATGAAAGCAAACTTAATAAATAATAGTGAACTTAAGTTTCTTTTTGAGTGACACTTCTCTTTGATTTCTGGATGGTAGTTGTAGTTAAATGCATGTTTCAATTTTTCTAAAATAAATGCTTTGAGCATTTTTAAGTATTTCAATTGTTTAGCAGATATAAGAAAACTGAAGTGAAATTATACTTAACTAAAATTATATGATGTAATTAATTTTCATGTCTAATAAGCAGATTTTACCAATTTTTAATCAATTTTTTTAAATATATTCAATATATTTTAAATTTCTTAACTATTGTTCTATGAGCTATGTGTCTTTTACCATTGCTAGTAAATAGAAATCTGTTTGATATATGATACAAATAGTATAAAAATATAAAATAAAAGATGTTAAAAAATTTAAATGTCTAGTCTTTCTTTTTTTCTAAGTTTTTCGCTTACATAAAAGTCAATATTGTTATTTATTCTGTTTATATTGACATCAAACCTAATGTTATTGATAATTTGATGTGCTATAATTGAGTTGATGTTATTCACTAAAAATAGATCACTAAGTTATTTTGGTGCTAATTTGATATTGTCATTGTGATGCCTATTAATTATATTGATAAAAAAATACTTAAATGACTGTTTATCATGTCTGTTAGATACTTTAAAGTTTAAAAAAGTTTTTATTTCTAGTATTGAACTTGATGTTACCAAGGTTAATAAAATCAAATTGTTTGAATGAGTTTATTGGTTTCTTGTAATAAAATATTTTATTGCATAGTTTTAGTGCTCTGCATAAAAATCGATGATGAAAACTTTGTAGGTTGTATACTTTAAGTTGTTGATTGATTTAAAAAAAGTAATCAAGTAATCAAAGTTAGATAGAATGAATGTTTTTAAGTATTGTAAACTAACTTTAAAGGCCAGACCAAATATGTTAGTTGATAAGAATAATTTTTGTATTCTTTTGCTTTTATCTTTTTTATGTGTTTGGTAAAATATAATTTACTGTTTATAATGTCACCAAGCAAAGAATATTAATTAACTATTTCAATTTTGAATTTATCACTTTATATTATTGATGTTGGCAATATTATTTTAGATGCTTAATTGTTATATAATGTTATTATTTTACAGTATGATTTTAGTTTGCATATTTGTTAAAATCATTGTTTTAGTTTTATCCCAATTGATGTCAAGTTTATTAGCATAGCACCACTCAATAAAATTATTAAATGCTGACTGAGTCTTTGTTATTAGATGGTTTGTATCACATGTCTTAAGTGTTGTGTCACCTGCAAATAATGTCAATTTTGTCTATTCAAATAATGTCAGATATTCAGGTAGACCATTGATGAAAAAAGATCCTAAAATGGAACACTGTTGTATACTGATATTAACTTGTTCTTTGTTAGAATATGCATCTTTGATTTTTGTAAATATTTTTCTATTATTCTATTATTTTAAATATTTTCTATTATGAAAATAGTTGCTTATTAAGTTCAACGCATCAGTTGAAAAACCATAATGTTTTGGCTTCAAAATCAGTAATATGGAATCTACTAAGTCATAAGCTTTTCTGAAATCGAAAAATAATAATCACATGTCTTGAGTGTTGTGTCACCTGCAAAAAATGTTGATTCAAATAATGTCAGATATTCAGGTAGATCATTGATGAAAAAAGATCCTAAAATGGAACACTGTTGTATACTGATATTAACTTGTTCTTTGTTAGAATATGCATCTTTGACTTTTGTAAATATTTTTCTATTGTTCTATTTTAAATATTTTCTATTATGAAAATAGTTGCTTATTAAGTTCAACGCATTAGTTAAAAAACCATCATGTTTTGGCTTCAAAATCAGTAATATGGAATCTACTAAGTCATAAGCTTTTCTGAAATTGAAAAATAATAATAATGTAAAGAGTTTTTTAGAGTTGCTTAGCTTTACTTAAGAGATAAGAACATGCAACACAGTTTCAATGAATGATTGCATCTAAAACCATGTTGGTCCGTGTTAAAAGAATTGTTTTTTAAGTTTTACAGAAAAGTTCAATTTTTTACAGAAAAATAATTTTATTTAAGTTAATTGTCTATAATGTTTATGAACAATATGTAGTAATTTTGTGTAAATAGTTGCAAATTATAGCATTAATAGTCAAGGTGTGTTTTATAAACATAGTTATCATTTAAAAACAAAGGAAACTGTTTAATGATATGGTAAAAAAAAATTTTAGACCTTGTACTATTATTACTATATAAGTTTTAGACCTGGTACTATTGAAAACTTGTACCAGGTCAGTTATATAAGTCAGGTATTAGCTCAGTATATTACCTGGTACTATTCAAGACTTGTATCAGGTCAGTTTTAACAACTTTTTTAACTTAATAAACTTTGAAACAAAAAGCATCAACATTTAATATAGACTTATCATTAAAGTTTACATTCAGTTAAAAGAATGCTTTCATCTAGTGTAAATCTTTTTCAAGGAATAGAGAAACCACTAATGGTCTATTGGAGCCTAAACAGTCAGCAGAGACCACAAATGGTCTTCAGAATAGTTGCAGAAATTACATATAAAAAATATTTTTTAGATAAATATTTTTTTGTTCATTATTTTAATAGTTTTAAGCTTTTTAATTTGTCAATTAAAAATAACTGTTAAAATTTTATTTAAAGTTCTATTATATTTTTTTACAAACTAACAAGCAGATTAAAAATGTAACAATTATCTATTGTTTGTTAGAAACCAATTAAAGCAAACATCAATTAAAGTGCAGTCAAAGTTTAAAAATATCTTACATTAAATTTTGATGACATAATTGCTAATGCTAGCAAAAATGCAAACATTAACAATTTTTAATTCAAATCAACTTAAAAATTTAGGAAATATCTTACTATTGAGGTGGGTAAATCAATAATTTAAAAAATAAGTCACAGAAGAATGTTTATTAGTATTATTATTTATCTCTTTTTGTAAGATAAAAAATATTGTCCTCAGTTTTGAATACTGTGTCTGTTTGTGGCATGAGAAATTAATTTCCAGGAAATGTTTTAATTGCTCTAAACATTTAAAATTGAAGTATTTTCACCATTCTTATCTTGCATTATTAATCCTTATATAATTATACTGAGAAGTGTCAACAAAGACAACTTCAACTAAGTATTTGTTGACATACTTCAATGATCTTTTTTTTTTTGTTTTGTTTACTTTTTATATTACTGTATAGAGAAGCATTAAAATTCTTTTTTTTTATGCTTGAGAATATTTAACTGTCAACAATGTTTTATTGAAATTTTTTTTGATTAAAATTTTTTATAAATGCAGTAACCTAATTTATTATACAACCACAGTAACCATAGTAACTTATTTTTTTAGTTTAAAAGTTAAAAAAAGATATTTAATCATTTTAAGTATTTCACATTTTTAGTTATTATAAAAAATCTTAAAAATAAGAAGTTAAATTTTATAAATAGTTATATAAATAAGGCTGTACAAAATTGCTGAAATTTATTTGGAGTTGTAATTATGTTACAAAGAACTATTTTGCGTTTGTCAAAACGCAAAAGTGGATTGTTCTCAGAAAGTGCAACAGAATGTAAGGTAAAACAAAACTTTTGAATTTTTTGTGTGTTTTGAGAGTTGTGTGCTTATGATTCAGGATTGGAAATTTTTGTTTATACTAAAACAAACAATCCAAAAGATACAGTACAGCTATTTTTTTTTTTTTTTTAGGTGGCTTTTCTGAGATTTTTACTTTTTTTCTGTTTGTTTATTTGTTTCTGTTGAGCTTTGTTTAAAAAAAATTACAAAGCCACACTTGTACACTGAATTTAAGGTTCAGTTGTACTTTGATCTTGGAATGCAGTTAAATTGAATAAAAAATTGTGAAGTTTTATTCAGGATAAGTATTGCAACAGTTTTGGCTGAATTGACTATAACTTATTTTTATGTGTTTTATTTAGGAAGATTGGTCAAAGTACGATGATCGTTTGATTGATTGTGTTAATCGAGGCGACATAGCAAAGCTAAAGTATCATTTTTTTAATTATTTGCTATTTTTTACCTGTTATTGTTTATTAGTTAATATATTTTAGAGAGATTAGATTTTTCTAAAGATAATTAAATTTATTATAATTTGCAAGTTCTTATTAGTACTGAGTAAAGATCTAAAAAGAACTTCTAAGGATTCTTCTTAAGGATTCTTCTAAGGATTCTTCTTAAGGATTCTTCTAAGGATTCTTCTTAAGGATTCTTCTAAGGATTCTTCTTAAGGATTCTTCTAAGGATTCTTCTTAAGGATTCTTCTAAGGATTCTTCTTAAGGATTCTTCTAAGGATTCTTCTTAAGGATTCTTCTAAGGATTCTTCTTAAGGATTCTTCTAAGGATTCTTCTTAAGGATTCTTCTAAGGATTCTTCTTAAGGATTCTTCTAAGGATTCTTCTTAAGGATTCTTCTAAGGATTCTTCTTAAGGATTCTTCTAAGGATTCTTCTTAAGGATTCTTCTAAGGATTCTTCTTAAGGATTCTTCTAAGGATTCTTCTTAAGGATTCTTCTAAGGATTCTTCTAAAGTCTTTAGTTATTTTTAGTCTTTAGTAGGTTACTTTTAGGCATACATTGAATAAGAAGAATGTTTCACCATTTAAGTTAAATGCAAATGGACAGACAGTGTGAGTTTTAAATTTATTTATATATTCTTTATCTTTAGTTTCATCAGCTCTTGAACAAAGCAAGTTTTTTTTATAATTTATTTAGAATGCATCTTGCTGTCAAAAAAAGCCAGATGGAGTGTGTAGATGCAATTTTAGCACTTCATCCTGACCTTTCTTATGTAAATGTGGCAGGTATGAGTTCAATTTTATTAATCTATTGTATGCATTTATTTATTATTGTTAATGATATACTCTTAGGCACAAAATAAACAAGTGGGTGGGGTATATATGATGGGGTATATAGATACATGGGGTTCATAATAGATATGAAGTTTAGAAGTCTTTCTGAAATCTAATAACAAGAAGGTTTTAATTAACAGGCAAGATGGTTAGGTTTCAATAAATAGGCAGGTCAGAGTTTCAAAAAAGCATAAAATTTCTAATGAAATCACAAGAATAACTCAGAATAAGCAATTATTTTTTTTTCAAATAAACAAAATATGTCAAAACTTTACAAGTTTTTAAAAAGATTTTCAAAAGAGTTAAATTTTCTTTCTCAAAGAAAAAATTTCAAACCATCCCCACATTCCTTGAAAACGAGTAAATATAGGAGGGGAAGGATCCTATTGAGTTCCAAGGGGTCAGAAAAAAAAACTATAACTGCTAGTGAAACTATAAACTACTCTTGTGGTTTGTGTAGTAAAAAGATTTATGTTATATAAATTGTTTTTATAAAATGATTTAGGACAAACAGTTTATCACATTGCTGCAAGGAATGGTGACGTTATTATGTTAAAAAAACTGCTTGACTACAGCCGAAATAATCTTAATATTCAAGATGAAAATAAAATGTCTGCTTTACACTGTGCAGTGCTTAGTGGTGAAGTAGCTTGTATAAAACTTCTTCTTGATAATAATTCCCCATTGGATTTAAAAGATGAAAATAATAGGACACCGTTATTGCTTGCAATAACAGAATGTAATGAGAAAATAGCTATGGAATTAATAATACATGGTGCTGATATAAACATATCTGATAGTTTTGGAAGGTTAATTAAATTACTATATTTTTATAACTATGTTTATATGCTATAATACTTCCATCAATACCACAAGGGCATTGATAACCAAATTTATGCTACAATGTATGCAAAAATTTGACAATAATTTATTGATGTAGTACATGAATAAATTATTTTCAAGAAGTGAGAGTTTTTCAGTATTTTTTTATGATTCTTCTTTATAATATATTTATTTATAACATATTTTTGTTTATAATATATTTTTATTACGTATATATTATGTGAGAAAAAAAGTTAGTTTGGTCAGTTCCATATGAAATCGTTCCTATAAAAAATATTTTTGTTTCCATTACTAGTTATGTTACATAAAAGTTTAAAAGTAAATAATTTTTGTTGTTACATATAATTGGAAAGCGCATCAATACAGTATTTTAAAGGTAAATTTGAAAATCAAACAATTCTACTAAAGGTTATGATATTTTATATAAAAATATATTCAATTTTTGAATATACTGGTTTATTGAAGTAACTGCCAAATTTAAGAGTTTCTTCACTTAAATTGTTATAACTTGGTTTTAAAAAATTGATGTAAAAGTGCACTACAAGTTTATATTATCCTCTAGCCACTGGTTGGTTTTTTTGGGTGTACGTACCTATAAAAGTTTAAAATAAAATATGTAAACAACTACTTAGTTGAACTGTATCACTAAAAATGATAATAGAAAAGGCTAAGATATAAAATAATAAGATAATAAAAAAATAGAAATAATAAAAAAATAGAAAAGACTATCAATTTGTATAAAAAATATTATAAGTACTTTTTACAACAAATAAATGGTAGATCAATAAGTTTTCAAAGTTATTTAAAATTTTTATCAACTTTAAACAAAGTAAGTTAATTACAATTAAAGTATTAATCGAAACACACATTCTCAAAACACTTTCCAGGGGCTATTCTAGACCATTTTAGACAGCGTTGATTGTATCTGAGTGAGCCCAAATTCAGAAAATTAGGATTTTTTTTAATATAGCAAATATTTTTTTTTGGCAAAAAAATGTCTGTATTTGGCAATGTTCCCCAAATTTTCTTGAGGCAGGTGCTGGCACGGGGTACCACTGCCCAAATTATTTTCCTAGAATAGCCCCTGCTTTCCATATCATAGCATAATATTAAGTTATATTTTTAGTTGTTAAACAAATCAAAATAAAAACTAAAGAGAATTATACTCAGTTTTGATGTACTGTAAGTATTCTGACAACTAGTTAATTTTTATAATAGTTTTCTTCTGTCTTCATAGATTAATTGCATTGGCTCTTTAAATAAGTTATAATATTAGTAAAGTAAAATATGTTACAAATATGTATATACGGAAAAGTTAAATATACTGTTACTATTAATGTTACTGTGAATTTTGTAAATAAAGAAAAAATGTTTAAAAAAAAAACACCATGGGTCATCCGCAAATTATGTCACACAATTTAAGGGTTAGCGATTTTGTGACGATTTGTTACAGGGTGGTATTTAGTTTTGTTGCATTTTTAAGTTTCAAATGTAGAATGTCTTTTCTATTGATTAAAAGAGTGCTTAACCTTAAACACTCAACTAAGGCTATTCCAATTTAGCATAAATTAGAATTGACTATTTATAAATCGAATTTAATTTTAGTTAATTAACATATTTATGACGCTTTATAGAGTCAATAGTATAGCCCATATATCATGGATTTTATTTGTACCTGTATACAAATAAAAAGCTTTCTAAGTGATATTAAATAATAGTTATTAAAATTTAATATGTGTTATTAAATTTTAATTATCATTATTCAAAGTAATAATTAAAATTTAATAATACATAATATATTAAATAATATGTATTAAAATGCATTCGTTAGATAACTATAATCAGCTAAGAAAATTAAAAATATCATATTTAAAACCACAAAAAAAGTTTTAGGGGGTGGGGGTAGGGCAGTAATATGTAATGATTTGTTAGTAGGGGGGTAGGGGGAAATCCGAAATTGTCAAAAAATTGTGTGACATAAGTTATGGATGATCCCTCGCCTATTATAAAAACCTTGTAAATCCTGATATGATCAAAAAAAACTTTTTAAATATTTTTTACAGTATAGTTTTCCCAGTGGTAAAATTAGAGGCAACTAATTTGTAAGAAAAGAGGTAACTAACTTGCAGGAAAACTTTTTAATCTTCAGGTAATTTAAGATAAAAGGTTATTTACCATAGCTTAGAAAAACTAAAATAAGCAACTTTACTAGTGGTAGGAGGAGACAAATATAGATTACAAAGCAGTACTTCAATATTTTTCAATGTTTTTTGCTATGTTTTAAAAAACTAGAATAAGCAACCTTACCAGTGGTAACAGTAGGAGACAAAACTAAAGATTAAAATGAAATAGGTGTAATACACAAATGACAATTTCAAAATTGAGATTTATCTTTAATACAAAAAACTACTATAAAGTACTATAAACTAATATAAAATAAAACAAATATAACCAATGATATTAGAATAATAATTTATTTATCTTTGAAAGTAATAATAGAGTCATTTCATATGAAATTATCCAGACTATGACTCCCTTATTTCTCAGAATTTGTTCATTTTTACCTCGCTTGCAGTCCATATTAAAAAAATAACTGCGAAAATTTATTTAAAAATACACATGGGTTCCAGAAATATTGTCAGTTAAAATAATGCTGACTCAGTATTTTAGTTTTAAAACAATGCTGACTCAGCATTTTTCTAATTATCAGAAGCAATTCTGATAATCACTAAAATCAATTAGATTCATCAATTGTCTTTCTAATACTTGATCAATCTTCCTGTTTTTTTTTTTTAATTTTTTTTTCATGCATTAATTGATATAATAATGAATAATTATTAAAATTCATTTTAAAAACATAATTTTTTTTTTAGTTTAAGAAACAATTTTTTTTTTCATTATTTACCTTTTATTTTACCTTTTATTTTTCATTATTTACCTTTTATTTATCACTAAAATCAATTAGATTCATCAATTGTCTCTCTAATACTTGATCAATCTTTCTGTTTTTTTTTTTAATTTTTATTTCATGCATTAATTGATACAATAATGAATAATTATTGAAATTCATTTTAAAAACATAATTTTTTTTTTAGTTTGAGAAACAATTTTTTTTTTCATTATTTACCTTTTATTTTAAAGTTAAGCACTCAAAACTAAGATCTTTTCACGATTTTAAAAATCATTTTAAAACCAAAAATATTGAAGTGTTTTTAACATTTTAACAATAAAACATTTTAGCAATAAATATCTTTACAGTATTAATTAGTAGATTAATACTAATATAGTCATTGACATAATAAGGTGGACAGTGGGATTTATTTAAACCCACTTCTTCTCAGCCTTCCCTTCAAGGATTTGAAAAAAAAGAAAGACAAATTCTAAATGCAAAATAGGTAAACATGCAATATAATCCATTTTTTGCAAAATAGGTAAACATGCAATCTAATCCATTTTTTTAATGTTTAATGAAATCTCTTTATTATGTTTGCTTTTTAGAATGATATCAAATATTTCAATACTTGTTTTTTTATAACTTATAGTGTTTAAAGCAATTGGAATAAAATGGTGATACGTCCTTGTGCCAGGAACTGTTCTTCCACCTAAATATCTTTTTTCTAATTGTGCTTGGGTTTGGTCAATTTCATATTTAGAAAAAAATTAAAACAAATTCCATTTATCTTGACTTTACAAAAAAAGTACATTAAATTAACATCTAAAATCTGCCCAGTAGTTGTTTGTTTTAAACTTTTTTGACATAATACTCTTTTAACAGTCCCACCAATACCATCACAGGGGGATTTAGCATGACTGGTAGCAAAAAATACCCATTCATCATTTAAATCAAAGTCTTTACTGTGATTTCAAAGATTGATAAAGTTTTTGAAATGTTTAAATTGTGCTTTACAATCATTGGAAAAGTATTTCACACTTGGTACATCAGGTACATACACTTGATACATCAGGTACATACACTTGATACATCATTTTCTTTGATATATCTAGTTATATCTTCCTGAGTTTTGTAAATAATTCCTGTGTCATGATCAACATCATCTGAAAGGTAACAAAATGATTTGTGTTTGAGAACTTTTTTCTTTAAAAAATAAAGTACAATTGTAAAAAAAAAACATTGACTTTGACTCCAGTGATAACTTTGAACCTCATCCTGAACAACATATTGATAATTTTCAGCAAAATCTCCTAAAATTAGGCATTTGTTTTGGTTAAGATTTTTTTTACAGTTTTTCAAGTATCTGTTTTTTTTCAAGTATCTGTATTTTTGCAATATATGAATAAGTGGTAAAGTACAACCTTTAAAAAAAACAAAACAAAACATTTGCTTGTTTTTGATATAATAAGAGGTAAGCATTCACTAATTTGAATTGAAATAATGAAAAAAAAAATTGTTTTTCAAACTTAAACTAAAAAAAGAAATTTAGTTTTTAAATTAAACTTTAATAATTATTTATTATTATGTCATTTAATGCATAAAAAAAAATAAAAATAAAAAAATCCAGAAAGATTGGGGAGGGGGGGAGCAGAATTGGCCCTTGGACTTTGACTATAAACATCCTAAACTAGTCAATAAATAACTCTTTTTGACATTTGACATTTTATTCAAATAAATGTTTTAAAAACATTTCATTTGCTTTCGTTACAAAATTTAAATTTTTCTTAAAAGACACAATTTTAAATGCAAATTTTGATCAAGTATTAGAGAGACAATTGATGAATCTTATTTTTTTCAGTAGACTTAAGATAAAATGATATACAATTAAACTTTTTATTTGGGATTTTGGGCCACAGTCTTCATTTTACCTACAAAAATCATGAATTTACAAGTCAATAATTTTGAACAAAATTGGATAAACTAGGCATTTCCTGAGATGATCGAGTCTTGAGGGTGCTCTGTTTGGATTCCGCAAGTAAAAACCTATTGGGGTACCAAATTTTTAAGGAAATTTTCCCAAGCCATTATGAAGATGCTATATGTCAAAGTTGCTTTGTAGTTGTTTCAGATAATCACTAAAATACTGAGTCAGAATTATTTTAACTGACAATATCTCTGGAACCCATGTGTATTTTTAACTAAGGTTTTTGCATTTATTATTTTTTTAATATGGACTGCAAGTGAGGTAAAAATTTCTTTGACGTAAGGGTGTCGAAAATATTTTTTTTTGATGATTTTATATGGAATTACCCAATAATTATAAAAGAAAAATAAGTTGATAAATAAATTTTCAAAATTGTTAAAGTTTTGAATAATAATTAATCACATAAAGTTAGCAACTGTTCAAAATGTTGAACAGTTGCTAACTTAACAAATCATAAAACTTAATTTTACTGTTTTTTATGAAATTGTTAAAAAAAAGATTTAATTAAATAAATTCAATTAAACTAAATTGAAGGATTCAAATTTTATTTAAATTTTAAAATTATTAATATTTATTTTTTATTATTATTTTATGATTATGTATTTTAAATAGTCAACCCTCGGAATTAGAAAAAATGAGGTCGGCAATAATTTGCCAACCTCAATCTTTTAGAGATCATCAATAAAAAAAAAAATTGAAACAAAGATCTTACCATAAAATATAAAAACCAGGTTGGCAATTTTTTGCTGATCTCAAACACTTTTAGGTTGGTAGTTAAATTGGCATTGCCGAATGCCTACCCTAATTCCGAGGGCTGAATGTTAGTAATAAGGATATTTGATAGCTTAAAAAAATATTTATTCAATTTTATTTGGAAAAAAAAAGGAGACTTTCACCTGAAATCTCTGATAAAAGGACTACTAAAAAAACTCAGACTCTGAAGTACTTGAAATTATGTACTCAAAAATAACATATTCCCGAGTTCTAAAACATTTATTTTGTGAAAAAGTGCATAAAATAATTTTTAAGGCATTTTATGTAATAAATTATTTTTTAATATAATTAAAGTATTATTTAGTGACATTTATATAACCATGTGAGTAAGAAGAGGGAAACTCCCTCCACCTTCTTTCAAACCCACCTTCTCTCTACTCCCATCTTCTCTGGGTTTGAAAGAAAGAAAAGAAGAACAAATTATTAGCTTACAAATAAACAAGTAAATAAAGATTAATTTTAGGAGTAGTTTTTTTTTTTGTAACCAACTGCGCATGTTTTTTAAATCTAAATCAAATATGTTTTAATGTATGACCTGATGTTGTTGCAAATGTTAAAATTAGGCATATAATTTCAGAAAGTTGAAAAATTAAAAATAAATTTTTTTCAACAAAATCAAATCAATGGGAAATTTTATGGTAATATATTTGTAAGCATACCTTGCAAATATCTGATTCATTAGTTGTAATGCTTAGATTTCAGAGTACAAACTGACTTCGTCATTAAATACAATTAACTTTAAATTACAATTAACTAATTAAGTAACTCATTAAGATTGAGTAGTAATAACCTTTTTTGAAAAAGTTGGTTTTTTTTAAAAGTAAAAAATCTTTTTTTCCTGGCATTATTTTCGAAAACTCATCACTTTGACAAAAGTGATGAGTTTTCATTTCAAGAAAAACATTTCTTGAAAGATTTCACGAACCATATATTATTATACCAAAACCTTTTTTAAATGTTAGAATCATTTTACACCACTTTTATTACTTTCTTTGTGTGCTCCGAATTGATTACAACACGTTGTTATTTTTCTTTCAAAATATTTGCTTTATTGTTCATAATACCAACATATAACTCTTGTTAAACTTTTTGTATTTGCTTTCCACATTCTTATTGTTGTTTACAAAGAGGATCTTTGAGTTAAATGAAGCTTTGTTTTCTATAAAGTTGACTTTATTTTTTATAAAATTCACTTTAATGGCAATAAATGTGTGGTTTTTTCATTCTACATTTCCAAATTTAATATATTTGGTATTTACTTACCAGCTTTAAAGAAAGTACACTAAAATTCTCAACATTTCTAGGAAAACAAAAAAGTAAAGTTTTCAAAAAAAAAAAAAAAAGAACTTTTGCTTACCTATTTACCACATAATATGTTAACGAATTTCAGTTTTATGTTTTTTTTTATTATGTTATATTTCTTTAATTGTTAAATATATAGTTAATCAAAGAAAATTGTTTTCCTTTAAAAAGAAACCTTTGTTTTCCTTTAGTATATGTATATGTGTTGTTTACAAGAAAGTAATGCATATGTAAAAACTAAATTCAGTTTTATGTTTCTTATTATGTTATTTCTTTAATTGGTAATTCAAATATGTTTTATGATTTCAAAGAAAATTGTTTTTGTTTAACTAAAAACCATTGTTTTCCTTTATTATATAAATAGGTCTTGCCAGATATTTTTTTGAGAGAAGGAGGAGGCAGAGGGCCAAGGTTTGGAAAGTTTAAAAAACTATTAAAACACTTTTAGTTTTCACTCCAAAACTAATTAACAGAGGTAAAAATTAAATAATTTGAAATAAGTAATATAATAAACAGCAAGTAATATAATAAATTTATATTATCTATTAAGTTTGAAATAGGAACAAAATTTAAAAAAATTAAAAATAGGTAATTTCTAAAATACAGTTTAAAATTATTTATAAATCAAGTTTTAAGAATATTTTTTCTTAATTTTCATTTTTATTTAAAATAAAAATGGAGCTAAATAAACATTTAAATATCCTTTGTCATAAAGTTCATGTTTTAAAAGTTCTGAAAAAGCTTTATTTTTGAGTGTATTATTTAATATAGTATTAAAAAGACAAAAGCGTATGGTTTTTTTTCAGTAGATCTAAGATAAAGTAATTATATAAAATTAAATTTATTCCCATTGGCTTTGGGATACAGCTTGTTTGAAATCCAAAAGTAATTAATTTACAAATTGAGATATATGCCAAAGTTGCATTGTTGTCTCTTTAAATTCTAGTGATGTGTATTTTTAGCTAAGATTTAGCAAATAAGCATTTTTTGCAGTAAAAATGAACACATTTTTTAGAATTTAAAATAAACCATATGATAAAGGTGGTCTGAATGGTTTTATATGGAATTACTCATTGTTTTTAATTTTAATTTAAATTTTTTAATTTGTTTGAATTATGCTTGAATTAAATTTGTTTGAATTGAGTTAGAATTATGTTCATTTACGGTTTGTACTATAGCAGTGTAAATTGTTAGTGTATGTCAAGTTATTGTTTGTTTATTAAGCATATTGTCAATTTATAAATATTAAAAAAAATTAATTTAGAACAGCAATTGTATTAGCATGCTCCCAAGGGATGTCACAAGCTGTAACTTTACTTGTATCAAAAGGTGCCAACAGTCCAATAGCTGAAAGTCAAGAAAAACTGAGTAAGTTGATATTATTTATTGAAGTAAAAAAAGATATTAACAGTAGCATGATTTGAACCTCTAAAAGGAAAAGATTTTTTTTATCAATTGTTTATTAGATATCTGAATTTAAAATATATTTCAATAAATAAACTTTTAAATTTAGATTTAGTATACCATCAAATTATATTTACAAGATACGCTGATAGTTTTGATACTTATAATTATATTATATTATTTAATATAATATAATATGGTATAATATGATATAGTTAATATTATTTTATTTTCAATTATATAATTATGTTAATGTAATAAAATTAATAATAATGTACTGCAATTGCACTGTAATAATTTTTAGAATAGAGGATGCAGAAAACAATAATGAAAGGGAAAGAATTACAAAAATGCATTATCAGTTTGGATTTTGCAGAATGATAATGTAAAATAACTGGTAAATATAAGTTTAAAGAGGGAAAAAAAACCCTCAAAAGCCTTTGATATTGTTAAGAACAATAGCTCTTGCCTCACAATCTATTACACAATAGAGCCTTTTATGGTTCACAAATCAGCAATATATTAGGAGGGCTGATATTCATATTGATTCTCAAAAAGTTGTTAAACTTAAGTTGAGGTAATAAAAGTTGGTTTAGGATTTTGATTAATGATTGAAGGACTTGGCTTATCGTAATAAGTAGGCTGGAATATAGTTGGTGGGGTCAGTGCAGAGAGAACTTTTTTTAAAACATGAATGTTTGAATAAAAAGCTGTAGAGTTAAAATAAAGTGTAACTTTATTTAAGTAATTAAGATATTGAGCAATAGATTAACTTGTTACTCTAGATTATCTGATAAAATGAGGTCATAAGATTCAAGAAATGAGTTAGAGAATAAAATTTTTGCAAATTGTTCTATCATTCCCTTGAGAGAAATAATAAGATCAGACTCATGTATGAGACAAAAGAATGTTAAACTTTCCTTTGTTAATCACTGTTAAAAATATTTTAAAAGTCTTTAGAACCTGACTTTTAAGAGTTCAGTGATCTGATAATAAAGAACCTTAAGGTGCAATACCTTTTAGCATTTGTTTCTTGCGATGATAAAAAATGTTTGTTCTCAAGAGAGTTGTTCTGAGAAAAAAAAATAAAAGAAATAATTACAATTAAAAATGCTGCACAAAAAAGAATAAACTGTTGTAGAGTGATAAAATAGTAAATTTCTTTGTGATGGTCATTAAGATAATGTTAATCGCCTCTGCTGATAATTATGCCTCTTATTAACCTGTTACTCTAGATTGTCTGATAAAATGTGTTCATAAGATTCAAGAAATGACTTATAGAAAATTACATTTTATTGGATCATCTAGAGTAACAGGTTGCGTAAGAGGCACAATTATCAGCAGAGGCAGTTAACATTAAGGACCATTACTAAAGAAATCCTAATGATGGAATCTATGATGGTAATTGATATGAGTTGTACAGAAAACAAATTATAAAGTTAATTATCTGGGCAGGAGATTGAGAAAGAAAAAAAATTTGAACTTTATTGTCACCAGGATCAGTTGAACTAAAGATTAGTCATTTAGTGTGATAAACATTTAAGTCAAAAATAGAAACAATATTGACAGATGGTTAAAGAAAAATTCTTGGGAAGAAGAATGATAAAAAACAAAGTTATTGAGTGTAGGTTTGTTAAATTAAAACACATAAAAAATAGTCATAAGATTCAACTCTGATTTTAATAGTTAAAGATTCAACTCTGATTTCAAAAGTTTGCTAATATTTCTGGTTTTCAATATTGCAAATATTTGAAGCAATTTGGTGGTAATAATGATTTTTTTATCATTATTATCTTTAGGTGGCAAATCTGATGTATAATAAATCCATGGTTTCAATTATTATTTGACTTAATCATAAGTAGTGCATGGTACCCAAAGTAATACATCATAAGTAGTGCATGGTACCCAAAGTAATACATCATAAGTAGTGCATGTTACCCAAAGTAATACATTATACTACTGCTTCATTCCTGATAAAAATAGACAATCAACTTTTAATATATAAATATGATTTTGTGTAACTCAGTAGTTATAAATTCCTGGCTATAAGTAAAAAATACTAGCTATAAGTAAAAAATTATTTGTTATTGAGTAAATTAATATAAATGACTTTATTTTCATTTTTTTTTTTTTTTTAATTTTGTTTGTTTTATTTATATGTTTGTTTTATTTTTTATAGCAAATTCAGGTGATGATTTTTCTACTCCATTGAAAGAAATAAAAAAAGATATTGATAAAGAATTTGGTAAACATAAGATATTACCTTCAAATTTATAGTGCAATTAGTTCCATTTAATTAATAATGAATGTGGTTACCATCTAATTTATAATAAAAGATGTTACTATTAAATCTTATATTGTGAGATGTCATCTTAATATTTATGTTTAACTTCATATTTATCATGTAAAATAAATGTGATGGTCAAATTTGATTGGTTTAAATAAATGTCATGGTTAAATTTGATGTACATAAACTTTTATGGCAATACTTTTGGTAGCAATAACATTAAAGTTATCAAATTTTAACTTTTTTTTTACTTCTATAACCTTTTCTTTTATTTATTTACTGTCATTATTTTTTTGTCTTTTTACCATCCCATTGTTTTATTTATTTCTACTACTTTTTTTTTTTATGAAATAATTTTTCAAATTCAAATTTCAATTTTCTATAAAAAAATTATAGTTGCTATTCACGCACTATTATAATGAGCTCATAAATTTCCTTATAATTTCAAGGTTTGCGGTTATAGTTTTGTATAAAAACTAATGTCAGATCATAACTTTATTTCAGTGCTAAGATAGTATTCATATCATTAGGTTTATATATCATCATATATTATAGTCCTAATTAAATTTATAGAATAACTATAATTATATGTTATGGAGCTATTATGATTGCAGAAATTTACTTCTAAACTCTAAAACATTTATTTATTTAAAAATATTCATGCAAGTTTGCCACTTTTTGTAAATATATAAATACAACTGCCATCAATCAGGGTTAGGTAAAAAATACTCTAAAAAGATTTAAAAAAAAAACTAAATTAGGGTTAAAAAGTAAAAAGTAGTTATTAAAGAGATTTGAAATTATTTTAAAAAAATAATGTTATTTAAAAATCATATGAAAAAAGATTTAAAACATTAATTTTAGGGTTTAAGAAAAACTTTTTTGTTTTTCATTAAAGTATATCACTTGAATAGGGTTGATATTTTTCGAATATTAATAAAATATTAATTTAAGACTCACAAATACTTTACCATTCTTATCATCCTTCTGGAAGTAGTTTTAGATTACACTGGTTTTGTGTTAGAAGCATATTGGTTTGTGTTGACTACATGATAAGGTTGACAGCTTGATGTCAGCATAAGGTTTGTTGCTGACTTGAAGTTTGATTTAGACTTCAGAGATGCCCAAAAAGTGGCTATTTTCAGAAGACATCATTCAAAAATAAAAAATTAATAAAAGTCAATAAAAAATACTTTTTGTTAAAAACAAAAAAATAATTTTTTTGTTAAGACAAAAAGATAATTTTTTTTTGTTTAACTAAAAAGTTAATTTTTTTTAACCTAAAAAGATAATTTTTTTTTTTTAACAAAAAGTTATAGGATTTAATGGTTTCAATATTTAAAATAGTTTGACTGATGTTTGAAACTATATATATATATATATTTTTCTTTCAGGAAATCAAAACAAAGCAATAGAAGAAACCAATGTAAGTAAAATTTTTATTCATCTCTAAAAAACTTAAACTCTAAAAACTTTTATTCATCTAGTTTTTTTACCTGCACTTCAATCCTTTGGAACTCTCTCCCATCTTCATGTTTTCCTGACTCATACAACCTTCAACTTTTCAAGTCTTCTGTCAACCGTTTCCTTGCTCTATAACTCTGTTCTTTTTTTTCCTAGTAACTCCCAACTTAACAGTGGCTGCTTGCAGCCTTGTTGGAAGTGAATGCAAATAAAAAAAAAAAAAAAAAGTAAAATTTAAGCATTTCAAATGATTCAACATATGTAAATTATAATTTTTTTTAAAGTTCTTAAACAATGACGAATGAATGAATGTGCCAAGACAAGTTGTTTTTGTAATAAGGAGAATGATAAAAAAAATGTTTGGGCTGAGTTTTTTTGAGTAAAACAAAATAATAAATGTATACCAAGAAAAACTAACTTTGTTGTTTTACTCGAAGCTCACCGTCTTCATGTTAGTTCCTTTAAGTCTTTAAAATATACACTGCAATCTACAGACTTTATAATTTATACATGTGCATATATGACATCATTGTAGAATTTCAATGAGAAATCTAAAAATTCTTTTTGTATATAATTTTTTATTTTTCATTAGAGATTACTAAAGAATTAGTTTAGTTACTTATTGTTACATAAAAGTTCTTTTTTTTTTCATTATAAATTACTATAGAATTTTTTTAGTTATTTTAAATTATGTTTTTTTAGTTATTTTTAAGTTTGTATTAAAAATATGAATAAAATCTTGCAGATATTTTTAGCTTGTCTATTGCTATACACAATAACACAAACAATAAAAATAATATTGTATTGTATAAAATAATGTATTGTGAAAATATATATATATATATATAAACAATTTAAATGTATTCTACAAAATAGAGTGCTCAATGTTCTTAAAAGAACAGATTAATAATAAATTAATTTATAATAGTGTCAGCATATTCCACTAATGTGAAAGTTTACAGTAGTTATGACATTTATGACTTCCTGTAACTTTATTGTTGGTATAAATTAAAGTTTTATCAATTTGATCATTTATTTCTGATAAGCCTTTTTGATAAAACACAGTGTTAAATAAAAATTGTTATATATATATATATATATATATATATATATATATATATATATATATATATATATATATATATATATATATATATATATATATATATATATATATATATATATATATATATATATATATATATATATATATATACAAATGGTATTGTGTACTAAGGTAAGCAATCTGATGTCATACTGAAATAGCCTGATGCTGGGGGCTTCAGTACATACATCAACTTACAAATAGCCTGATTCGCAGTGGAGTGCTGCTACATCGATTGAGGGTTTGGGATGGGGAAGCAATCATTTTATTCATCATTCTTCGTTTTTTCTTCTTCTTTTTCGAAAAAAACAGTATGGCTTAAGGTAAGCAGAAAAAGTGAGCAAATGCTTATCAAAACACGCTTTAGTAAGTGTGTGTATATATATAAATATATATATATATATATATATATATATATATATTATATATATATATATATATATATATATATATACATATATACACACACTTACTAAAGGGTATTTTTATAAGCATTTGCTCACTTTTTTTGTTTATCTTAACCCATACAACTTTTTTAGAAAAAGAAGAAAAAAAATGAAGAATGATGAATGCAACAATTGCTGCCCCATCCCAAACCCTCAGTCGATGTAACAGCACTCCATTGCGGGTCAGGCTATTTTTCAGTCAATGTATGTACTGAAGCCCCCAGCAGCAGGCTATCTCAGTATGATGTCAGATTGCTTACCTTAGTACGCAATACTATTTGTGTATATATATATATATATATATATATATATATATATATATATATATATATATATATATATATATATATATATATATATATATATATATATATATATATATATGTATATATATATATATATATATATATATTTATATATATTTCGATATCCCAACATGTCCCTGGTAGTACCACGCTTAGCTTATTTCTCTGCACAGGGGCCTTATTTCTCAAGGTTCATGTTTCAGAGTTTTATAGTTAAGAGAAGGTAACCACGAGGAGGCTACTTTAGTCATATATATATATATATATATATATATATATATATATATATATATATATATATATATATATGTTAGGGCTCGAATTAAGTGATTGAAAATTTCAATATCCGGAAATATTTTTGGTCATTAAATTCTTAGTTTATTAAAAACCATGAACACTGTTTTAATAAAATGGTAAGTTTATCATATTGCAAAAGTAGATGTATAAACAAAATAATTAATTTACTATTGCAAAAATAATAACAGTCAAAACTTACATATTTTTAATTATTGTTTTTTTTTAAAAACCAGGTATGTTAGGGATTATAAATATAAGAAAGTTGTAAGACAAAAATTATCACCACCTAAAGTCCGAAAAATTAAATGCTAAAGCTATTTGCGCATTGTATGAAACATTGTATGAAAAATCAACCAATAAAATATTAGGCTAAAGCTATTTGCACATTGTATCAAACATTAGTATTGATTTTTGTTGAAGGGGAAAGTTTAAGGAATTATTATTTTAAAAATTTAAATGTTTTCAATTAGAAATTAGTTATTTAATAATAAAAATAATAACAAAAAAAGATATATTTAAAAAATTTTTAGAGTTTTTTTCTTTTGTTATAAAATAACAATAAAAAGTTTAAATTAGTTTTTATATATTTTTTAACTCCTCTGTCTTTTTTTTTTTTATACATATCTGCAAAAAGATTTTTGAACATTGAATTTATAAGAAAATATTGAATAAGATTCAAATTAAATATAAAAGTATTTTATATCTTATTTAACAATTTTTTTTATTTAAAATATTTAATCAACCCTAAGTTCCTGTTTTTAAAAGGAATGACTTTTATAAACTAAAATATTAATTAAAAAAAACAAAGTAACAAATTTACATAGGGATGAAAATAACTTAAAATAACAGTGCTGTGGCTAGAGGGTCAGAGCCCTCTCCCTCCAACTTGTCATTAGGGTATTAAAATTTTAAAAACCTTCCATTACTAGGTGTATAATCATTTTGGAAAATTTGGAAAAGAACCCTAAATTTGAAATATGCCCCTAAATTCGCAGGTCCTGCAAATTGTTTACTGTGGCTAGCCTCCATGCTTACAAACTACGCGTAAAGATTTATGTAACTTGGGGTAAAGATAATGTTTGTTAAGTTCTAAATTTTTAGTTTCAAGTCTTTAAAAATTGCGTCATGGAAGTAAATATTATATTTACAATACTTTATTTTATTATAATTACTATATTATAGTTCAAACAATAAAATATTTTATTACAATAACGCACATAGGTAGATTAAAGTTTATTAAAGTTTCTCAGAAATTTGGACTCTAAGTTGATGATGTTTCTTTAAAGAAATAATTTAACTTTAGCAAGAAACCTTTTGCACAATTTATTTGTGTAATCAATGTCTAATGAATAAAAGTACCAAATATCACAGTGGCTTCCCAAACACTCCAGGCAATTGCCAGTAAATGCCAATTTTAACTTTGTTATATTGTCAACATTTCTTTTGCAAGAGAACCATGGCCCAGTGATCTACAATAAAATTGCATGTCTCTATTATTGATTCTCTTATTGTGTTTTCATGTTTCTATTATTGATTCTTTTATTGAGTCAAAAGCATTTTAAGCAATAGATAGCTCTTGAATTCCATCGTGCATTTGAAATAAACCCTAGTTTAGAAAAATGAATCGTGGGTAAATTCATTGTGTCTCGATAAGACTTGTATCCTTTACATAACAAATCTAGCTCTGTATAATCATTCCTGCCATATTTTCTACTTTTTATAACTGACCCATTAGGCTTGTATTTTTCAATTAAATTGTGGTAGTTACTAATCAACTCAGTAATAAACCAGTGATTAATTTTAGGCGATGTTGATAAGGAATCAAACTTTAAGTTCATAAAATGCTTAAAAATTGAGTTGAGAACATGAAGTCGACAAGGATGGTACACTAAACCTGGAATAATTTTTGTCAAACGCTTAATTACTCCATTTTTAGATCCTGTATTTACTGCAGTGGTGTCACATATTGCAATGGAAATTTTACTTAATAAATTGAATTCCAAAATAATATTGTGTAACATGTTATAAATAGAAACAGAGTTGCCTTTCTCTAATTTTTGCAAAGATATTACCAAAGATTTAGACTTGCTCGAAATGCAAGTGCTATAATAATATTGTTTGTCTATGCTCTTACCATCAAAATGTAAGCACCACATTTCTTCAGAAGAGTCTATATAAGACCGAATCGAGCTTAATTTATGCATGAGTGTTGTAGATGCTTTTTGGACTGCCGATCTGCAAATCGATGTCTCACCAACGGCATAGAGTACAGCTTCTGCAATCTTTGCTGTACAACTTACTGGATTTTACCTTCATTTTCAGATATCTTTGCTACCATTTTACCAGTGATCTTTGCACCTTTCAATAGGGTTGTGTAATCATCACTTGTACTATTATCTTCTCAACTTTCATTACTTGAATTATCTGTATCATCATATGATTGGCTATAATTTGTTTCAAGTTCTTTTCTTTTAGTTAACAGGTCTCGTGGATGTGTTGTAATAGACTCTGTCACAATACTGCACTGATCTTTGCACCCATTGGAAGATTTTCGAAGTTCATAAAAGAGTTTGTCTTTCAGATTTTTAAATTTAGCATTTTTGGGCAATAAGTCAAATAATTTATCTCAGCTATTTATAATAGTTGTCTTTTTATTTGTACTTTGTGAAGATTTGATAACAAATTTATAATTTTGAATAGCAGACTTTACTTTTCTTTGCACAGATTTTTCCATAAAACATGGTATCGTCATTTTATTCCATAATTGATTAACTTCAATTCAGATCTCTTTAATAACATCACTTAATCTCGAAATGTTACCCAATTCTAAAAGAAAATGATATCTTCCTAATATCTGCCTTGTCTTACATAATTTTGAAAAATCCATCAGTGACTTCTCAATCAAGTTTTCATATATTCAATTAAATTATTTTCTGATATCTTACACATCTAAAGTACAGATTATATTTAAATATATAATAGTTAAACATTATTTAACTATTATATATTGTTTAATAAACATTATTAGTTATTTAAGCAAATTTTCAAACTTTTGAAGATACTTTAAAATGGATTTGCGCAGAAGTTTTTTTGCGTTTATATAGTTTATTTTTATGTTTTTGTGAGTTTTAGGTAATTATTCCACCAATAATTATAGGGCCGTCACTTGAAAAAAATATTCCTACCCCTAATATACATATATATATATATATTTATATAATTTTATTTGCATATATTGTATAATTGTATATATATATATATATATATATATATATATATATAATATATATATATATATATATATATATATATATATATATATATATATATATATTTATATATATATATATACATATATATAAATATATATACATATATATAAATATATATAAACATATATATAAAAATATAAACATATATATAAATATATATACATATATATATATAAATATATATATATATATATATATATATTTATATATATATATATATATATATATATATATATATATATATATATATATATATATATATATATATATACATATATATATATATATATATATATATATATATATATATATATATATATATATATATATATATATATATATATATATATATATATATACATATATATACATATATATATATAAATATATATATATATATATATATACACACACACACATATATATATATATATATATATATATATATATATATATCCACTATAGCATATTTATATGCGCTTATTTTGCTAGCCTAAATTAAGTGAGCGTTTTTAGAAAACGATGAGGGAAAACAAAGAATAATGAATGAAAAGGTTGCTGACCCATACCAAACCCTTAGTCGATGTAGCAGCATTCCACTGTGAGTCAGGCTATTTGTCAGTCGATGTATGTACTGAAGCCCCCGGCAGCAGGCTGTTTGACGTTAGGTGATTATGACATCATCTTGCTCACCTAACTCAGCAGTATAAGATATATATTTTACATAATATCTATGTTTTATTTATAGTCTCTAAATTATTCAAACAGAAATTCATATGTGAATTTGAAAAGATTGACGGTTTGTAAATTTTATATTTACTTTTTTAAAACTTTAAAGGTTTCGTATTTTAAAGTTATTTTTGTTTTAGATTTTAAGATTTTTATGGTTTTTTAGAATACTTTGATTATTATACTTAATGTTTTAGAAAAACTTTGACGATACCAGTTTTACATCATCAATTATTGAATCATTAATGGTATAATTTTATTTTATGTTTTATCTATTCTGTTTTTTCAACATTTTGATGTTTGAAAATTAATAGCAACATATCCACTTTACAAGAATAAAATATGTTTTACAAGTTATTGTAAAACATATTTATAAGTAAACAACTTATAAGTTGTTTATTAATTCTAGTAAACCATAGTTATCATAGGAAGAATACATTGTATATGAAGTCATTATACTATTTAAATTTTCTCAAAATTCAAATAATATGACCATCAAACTATTTGAATTTTCTCAAAACATTTTCTATCAGAAACCATATTCATATATGGTGCATTGTTAAATCCTGTAAACATAAGACTAAGCATCAGACATGAGAAACACTATAGTTAAAGCAATTCTTTAGTTTAAAATTTGTTTTTCTCAGGTAAGCATAAGATAAAAATAAGATATAAAATATTCAAAAGCAAGTAAAGTTGTAATCAGACAATTAGGAATCAAGATTAGCAATTAGATAATATAGATGATGGAATTTAATACATAGATAATGGTTGTTAGCAATTAGATAATATAGATGATGGAATACAATACATAAATAATGGAGATTAGCAATTAGATAATATAGATGATGGATTACAATGCATAGATAATGAAGATTAGCAATTAGATAATATAGATGATGGAATACAATACATAGATAATGGAGATAATAAATACAATTGTAAATTTTAGAGTTGTTACTGGTTTTATATTTTGTAAGAGTTCATTGTTCAAATCATTTTTTATCATGATAGAAAATTTTACTTAAACAAATTTAAAAAAAGTTGAAAGAACATTGTAGAACACTTCCAATGCAATTTATTTTAATAAATGTAATTTATTTGAAAGAACATTGTAGAACACTTCCAATGCAATTTATTTTAATAAATTTTAACTTTTTGAAATTTGACTAATGAATTTGAGATTAAAGTAGAAACGGAGGGTTATTTGTGAAATCAACAAAGCCAGTTATTTATGAAGAAGTTATGTACTTAAATTAAAAGGAGATTGTTTACTACCATCTTATTTGATTTTCAGGCAGGTTACTAGGTTACAACAGCTATTAATCATTATATTAAAATTTGAAAAATAAAAATAATAACAAATAGTTCTTTAACGAGTTCATTAATAGCTAATGGTATTTATGAGTTTGTAGAGGTAAACTTGTACAGTACCTTTTTCAAGATTTTTAGGTATTTGTAAGTAATAGTCTCAAAGCCACTTATCTACATTAAACAGCCATTTATTTTCACCCAGCACTTATTTTCGCACAGCCACTTATTTTTACCCAGCACATTTTCACACAGCCACTTATTTTCACCCAGCACATATTTTCACCCAGCCATTTATTTTCTCTCAGCACTTATTTTCACAGCCACTTATTTTCGCTCAGCCACTTATTATTGCACAGCCACTTATTTTCAACCAGCACATGTTTTCACACAGTATTTATTTAAAATTCAAAGTTTCTAAGTTAATTATTTTAATAATTTTGTTGCAGTAAGTTATAGCAGGAGTGAAATGGCTGGTGAGGGGTTTAAAGCACACCATTTAATGTAAAAATTCAATGCCGTTTGAAAAGTTCATTAACAAATTTAAAAATGAATAAAGTACCAAAAATTGTAAAACACAAAAAACCATCGTTATCATCAAGTTCTCTAAACCTATCATTCACTAATATTGGTGGTCTTCAAAGTAACTTTTCTTCTGTTGATTTTTTTCTCTTGCAAAAATCAACAGACCTACTTGCTCTTTGTGAGACTAATTTGAGTTCAGCTGTCTCATCTTGTGATCTTAGTGTTGATGGTTATCTTTAATTCGTAATGACTCCAATAGTCTCATGTTTGGCCTGGGCATTTAGATTTGTAAGAATTCACCCATTTGTCAAGAAACTAGGTTTGAATCCACAGACTACTCTTTTATGTGCTTTGGTTTAGTAATACTTCACTCTATCGCCTTTCTCTTTGTTCTATATCGCTCTCTATCATCTCAAGACTGCACTCTTTTTGATGTTATTTCTGATCATATTGACCAAGCCCTCTCTCTTTATCCATCAGCCGATATTGTTGTTGTCAACTTTAATGTTCATCACACTAAATGGCTTGGCTCTAGTGTCAGTGACTCTGCAGGCATTAAAGCCCACAACTTTTGCCTTTCTCAATCCCTAACTCATATAGTCAACTTTCCAACTCGCTTTCCAGACAACCCGAATCATTTACCTTCTCTACTTGATTTATGTCTTGTTACTGATCCTATTCAGTGCTCAGTTTCTCCACATTGATCTTTAGGTGTTTATCACAGTTTGATCTCTCTAAAATTATTATCACATTCTTCTTTATCATCAGAATCCCCCTATCATCATCCATCTTAAAACTACCTTAAAGCTGACTGGGACTCTTTCTGTAATTTTCTTCGTGATGGCCTTTGGGTAGAAATCTTTCGTCTTCCTGCTGAAAAATGTGTTTCTTACATAACTTCGTGGATTCAGGCTGACATGCAATCTTTTATTCCCTCTAAATGATTCCAGTTCAAGCCTCACTCTTCTCTATGGTTTTCCTAACATAGTGCTGCTGCAATTTCCAATTAAAACTGTTACTTCTATATCTCTCAGCAAAACAATTCTCTAGAAAACAGATATCTGTTTATTACTGTTTGAAACCATTGTAAAAAGGTTTTGTCTAATGCTAAAGCCCATTATTCTCAGGTCATGGTATCTTGTATTTCATCAATTAGGCTCTTGTGACTTCTGGAGAATCTTTAATAGTATCAATAATAAGGGATAATCTCTTATTCCACCTCCCTTGTATGGTTTATACTTTGTCACCTCACCTAAAGACAAAGCTGAATTGTTTGCTAAGAACTTTTTATCAAAATCATCTCTTGATTCCACTAGTTGCGTTCTACCTGATATAGACGTCAAACAGGTTGATCCATTGCTTGACATTCATATCACTCCAGCTTCTGTATCTTGAGTGATTGCCTGCTTAGACTTTTTTACAGCTTGTGGTCCAGACAACATACCTGTTATAGTCTTGCAGAAGTGTTTTCCAAAGCTGTCTTCTATACTTTCAAAACTATCTAACAAGTGCTTATCAGAGTTTTGTTTTCGAGCCTGCTGGTAAGTGACATCTGTTATCCCTATTTTCAAAAATTCTGAAGAGTGATCTGATTTGTCTAACTACCGTCCCATTAGTCTTCTTCCTATCATAAGCAAGGTTTTTGAATCTTTAATTAATAAACATTTAATCTCTCATCTTGAATCTAATAACTTACTTTCTGATTGTTAATATGGGTTTCGATCTTCTCGTTCTACGGCTGATTTGCTAACAGTAATAACCGATAAGTTTTATTGTGCATTAGATAAAGGTGGTGAGGTTAAGGCCATTGCTCTTGACATTTCTAAAGCTTTTGATAAAGTTTGTCATGCTGGTCTTCTCCATAAACTTTCTTCTTACAGTGTATCTGGTAACATCTTTAATATTATTGAATCCTTCTTTTCCAATCGTAGTATAAAAGTTGTCCTTGATGGACAGCACTCTTCTTCTTATTCAGTAACCTCAGGAGTTCCATAAGGTTCAATCCTTGGCCCTATACTCTTTTTAATTTACATTATCGAGCATCCAGATATTCTCACATCTAAGGTGGCATTGTTTGTTGATGATACTACCATTTATTCTTGTCATGTTAAGAAGCCAGCACTCCAGGAGGGGGCATTTGAGCTTGAAAAGGATCTCACTTCATGGGGCTCACAGTGGCTGGTGAACTTTAATTCAGATAAAACTCAATTTTTTTCATTCAATCGTTATTGGAATAATTTAGATCTTCCTATATTTATGAATGGTAATGTACTCGATGAGTCATCTACCCTTCATCTTCTAGGATTATTCTTTACTTCCGATCTTTCTTGGAAACTATATATCAAATCCATTGCAAAATTAGTATCTGCTAAAGTTGCATCTCTTTATCGAGCTTGACACTTCCTTACTCTGGATTCTATTCTCTATCTTTATAAACCTCAAATCCGTCCTTGTATGGAATACTGTTTCTTTTTAATATTGTTGATCTTCCAATGACGCTCTTTCTCTTTTAGACAGGTGCAAAAATGCATCGTTAACATTGTTGGAGCTGCTCTTGCAGCCAACTGCAAAAACATTATTGCAATATCGTAATGTTGCTTCTCTTTCTTTTTTCTACAAATGCTATAATGGGCACTGCTCTAAAGAGCTAGCGTCTCTTGTGCCATCTACTAAAATTCATTCTCGTGTCGCTTGCCATTCAATTAAGTCTCATACTTTTTCTGTGACTGTTCCTAAGTGCTCCAAAAACTCTTATTCCACTAGTTTTTTTCCTCGAACATCAGTTCTTTGAAATTTGCTTCCTTCATCTTACTTTTCTGATTTATATAATTTGCAATCTTTTAAGTCGTCTGTCAATCATTACCTTGCTATATAATCTTCATCTTTTTTCTTCCAGTAACTTCTAACTCTAAAAGTGGTTGTTTGCAGTCTTGTTGGAAGCCAAGATGTTAAAAAAAAATTACATAAAAATGAATAAAAGAATAGGGCAATTTTTATTATTACAGAAGAATTTAAATAAAAGATCCTTGCTGTTTCTTTTAAAAAGATGTCATCAAAGTTGTATGCATGCATGAAAATGTTTTCTTAATGTTGTTTAAATTTTGATGTAATTGAAGTTTTTTTTTGAACTTTGATCTTACTGCAAGTCTATTAAGATAAACGCTTTTAAATTTAAAAGATAAAAATTTGGTTTAAAATTTACTTTTTTATAATTGTTTTTTTTTCTCTTAGGTTAAGATTTATTTTCTTTTTTCAGTTTATAGTTTTTGTTTTCATTTTTATTAAGTTTACTTTCATTTTTAAGCACCATTTTAAAAATGCGCAAAAACTATCAAACTATTTAAAAGTTGTAGCCATGTTAGCAAAATAAAAATTGTGTATTGAATAAAAAGACGTGCGATTGCACATCTTTCTGTGAAACACTGACGCTAGACTTATTTTCACACAGTCGCTACTTACATTTTGAGTTACTACTTAAAAAAGAAAAATAGGTTAAAGAGCATTTTGAAGTAGACTTAGAAAGTCTACATTCTACTAGGAAAGTTTAAACCGTTCTATCACTAGACTATTGCTTCAAGTTTTATAATATTTTATACAAGTTTTATAATATTCTAAACATTTTATTTCTTGGATTAGAAGCTATATTATATTCTATACAATATTCTAAACATTTTAATTCTTGGATTAAAATATCTCATAACTGTGAAATCTTCATTGACAAAACTCAGAATAATTATCTTTTTTTACAAGAAAGAAAATTATACTCAACAATGAGCATAATTTTCATTATGCTTGCTGGAGGTATGTATAAAATTTAGAAAATCCTCTACTGAGAAGCTTTAATAACATAAATAAATACAGTATTGAGTGAGATCTAACTTTTAAATGTCCACCTGGAAGAATTAGAACAAATATTGGCACATTTTGTTTGCTTTATATTTAGTATTTTTTTACCAGATTTACATTTTATCCAAATCCTAAGTTTTAACTTAAGTTTTGAAAGTAGTGTGGCTTTCCTGGTAAAAATAATGGTATCCTGATTTTATATTTATTGATAGGTTTTAAAAAAAATTATATACAGTAAAAATTAATTAATATTATTTCAGTCTCTTGAATCAATTTTTGGAAAAGAAACTTGAGAAAAACATTCACAACATTAAATCATAAGTTTATGTCTCAGTGATTGCAAAACAAAACTTTTTTTTTATAAATTTTTAACAATTTCTAGAAGAATTTATTATCACAATATTTATAAGTGAAATTGAAAGTTGTTGACATGACAACAACTTTTAATCTCATTTAAAGAATTTTGTAATAACCTATGAATGTTAATTATTTTAAACTATATTGTTTTCAAAAGTTTATTTTTAAATTTTAAATGAAAAACTTTAGTTTCTTACACTACTAGGATTTGAAATAATGTTTACAAAGTATTTTTTAAAATTTATTTTTATAAAGTTAAAAATAATTTCTAAATTATTTTTTCCCAAAATCGGTAAAAAATTAGTTTAGAAATAATCTAAACTTTTATATTACTCAGTTTTACATATAATAAATTTACATACAATAAAGTTTACTGTCAGCATACAGTAAATACATAAAGTAGAGTTTATAGTCTTTACATGAAGTGAAATTTTGGAAAACTAAAAGCCCTAAAATGTATCAGGTAAAATTTTTATCTAATGCTACTGCTTGATTTGAACATAATACCAAAAATAAAATAAAAAAACTATAAATGTTTTCTTTTTATAAGAAATATAGTTAATAAATATTGAAACTATAAGTTTACAAAAACAAATAAAATCATTTTTATAAATGTTTATATTTGATTTTTAGTTAATGTAACTCTTCTATAGTGTTTGTACATTTTTAAAAGGGTTTAGAAGTCACTGATGTTGGCAAAGAAAATAATGAAGACAGCTTTGTTCAAAATAAAGAGAAGGTAAATTTAATAGTTAAGGATATTTTTAGTTTTATTTATATTATAAAAATTGTTTTTCCAGGTTAAAATAAGATTCTTGCAAGTTTGGAGCCATTTCTAAATGCTATTTTTGATACCAATACTGCTGTCATTTTTTGACAGCAGTGTTGGTATTAACAATTAAATAACATTTTTTCTAGGATTTTTGACACATCCTAGAAATTGTTATTTAACCCAGTGAGCCATGATTGTGGCTTTTCCATTGAAGTGCAGCAAGCCATGATACATGTTTTTAGTGTTTAAGTCAAAAACCACAATTGTGGCTTTTGATTTTAACACTAAAATATTGGTTTTTGTTATTTATAAGTAGTAACACTTAATAGTACATATAGTAGATATTTTTATTATATATGTTTTACTTTTAAAACAAGTTTTTGTTTTTTTTTACTTGAATTTTTCTAAAAAATTTTTTAGACCAATTTAAAACCTATCAATAAATATAAAACCAGGATACCATTATTTACAATACCAATGTAATTATATCATTATTACATTGGTATTGTAACATTGTTGCTGTTGATTGATAATCATTGTTTTATTGTCATTATAAGCACATTACCAATATCATTGTATCATTATTACATCATTGCATCATTATTACATCATTGCATCATTATTACATCATTGCGTCATTATTATCACATTGCATCATTACTATCACATCATTGGTATCCATAGTCAAAAAGTCCTATAGGATTCTAAATTTTAATTTTCAAGGTGCAACTTTTTATTAAAAAAAACAACACTTTTATGTTGGTTCTTAATATCAAAATTATAGCGGTGCATGTGCAGTGCATGTTGGCTTTACACAATTTATTTAGTTCAAATAAATTTTTCAATAACTTAAACTTTTTTGTATAGTAATGGTTTTTCTAGGTTTTAAATACTATCAGGTTTTAAATCAAATTATCTACTTTTATTATTAAAGTGTTGTTATTGCATGGTTTGCTTTTGTTTTAAAAGTTTGTATATTGGATTCTTTTTCTTTAAAATAGAATAACTTTTTGAAGAATATATTCGCATCAGAAATACTCTGAAAACATTTAAAATGGCAGGTGCCATCTAGCATCATGCAGGATCTGGAAAGGTAAAAAAAACTATGGAGCACTAAAAAACCTCTTAATTCTAGTCTTATATTTCATCAAGTGAGAGAGACCAATCCAAAGTTATGTTATAGTAAACTTACCAACAAGTTCAATAATGTTTGAAAAATTTGAGAGCAAAATATTTCAGTATGTTGTATTGTTGTTAGGCTAATTGACAATCTTTAACATTTTTATCTTTTATCTTGTAGGTCTGAGATAGTGTCTTTCATTTTCTGTAGATTTCATTCTATCTAATGTATTATAAAGTCACCTGCTACGTTCTATTATCAACATTATCAACTTGTTAAACCTAAAACCTATTGCTAAACACATGATTTTGTATGCTAACATTTTTTAGTATTGGCTTCAATTAATAAGAATACAATTTTAAATTCATTTTCTAAATACATCAATCCTTTTTACATCTATGCTTTAGAGTTCTTTTCCTTGCTTATGTTTTTCAGATTCATATAGCTTGCTGTTTCAAAATTTTCTAATAATTATTGAAGCATATATATTTTTTTTAATTATTAAATTTCTTTTTAAATTAGTTAAACAACAAGTTTGCCTAATAAAGTATGCTTTTTCATTACATCTACAAATTGATGTTATATTGTTAACTTATTGTTGTTAACTTTAAAATGGTAACAGTCTTTTAACAAGTTCTTACCAAAAATTATAAAACTTATTTACAAAAGAATTATAAAATTAACTAAGAGTTTTTCTTAGCTTGAAATCTTTGGTGTTATCAACGTTGTTGTTACTATTAGTGTTTTATTATTATTATTATTATTATTATTATTATTTATATTATTGTTCAGTGAATCTTTAGATAATAAAGTTTATTGTTCCCTTTTAGTTACAAATTGAAGATATGCGTAAAGAACTTGAAAAAAAAGACTTAAAGATTATAGAGCTGCAGGCTGAGGTGATTTTATATATCTTTTTAATTTTTAATTTTTAAACATTTTTTTCTTTTCTTGAAATAATAGAATATTTAATTTTTTACATTCTAAGTTCTTTATACTAAATTCTTTATTCTAGATACTAGATTCTTTGTGCTTAATACTTAGTGTTTATAAAAGTTTTGTTTTAATAAATGTATATATAGAGCTATAATATTACTTGAAGTTTGTATTACTTAAAGTTACATTTTACAAGAAGTAGTAACAAACTGGGTATTATAATTGAAGTAGGATAATATTCTAGTTGATTACCTACTAGAAGTTTTATACTACCAAGTTTTTTGTACCAAGATGTCTATACTTTTATTTTGTTTGTTCAGCTTTTAGCTCTTCATAACAAAGTAAAATTTGAAACTGAAAAGCGTTATTCTGCTGAGGTAATCACTTATTAGTTTTTAAGTATCTTATTTTTAAGTTTTTATAATTTATACTTTAACATTGATTTGTTTAACTATTCTCAGATTATATCATTATTACATTGGTATTGTAACATTGTTGCTGTTGATTGATAATCATTGTTTTATTGTCATTATAAGCACATTACCAATATCATTGTATCATTATTACATCATTGCATCATTATTACATCATTGCGTCATTATTATCACATTGCATCATTACTATCACATCATTGGTATCCATAGTCAAAAAGTCCTATAGGATTCTGTAAGAATTTAGAACAAAAATAATTTCAGATTTAAACCCCATTATATTAAAAAACAAATAAGTTAAAAAATGATTATAGTTATCAAAGTTTCGTCTTTTTTTTTTGTTCCAAAACCCTATTGGACTTTTTGGCTAGGGATATCCTAATAGTATTATTTGATTTATACATATTGATGTAGAGTCGAACACGCAATTTGTAAATTGTAAACATCTTAAATCTTTAAAAAAAACTATTAAAAGGTAACTTTATGTCTACACTGAATCCTACTTGTTTACTTATGCATGGAGGAGTTTTTTGATAATGTCTACTTCATTTAAATGAAATCTTTTACATATAGTAGATCATCACTGAAAAAAATATATTACCAAAGATAAAATATAGCTCTTAATCTTTGCTAATATATTTTGCCTCAATTAGTCTGACAGTTTTCTCTGCTTCATTGTTAACGACTTTATATGTTAAAACATGTGTTAAAAATTGTTGTTAGTTTTCCAAAACATTGTTAAGAAAAATATTTTTACTATAAGAAAAGATGGTTAATATGATGGATGATAAGATAAGATGGTTAATATGATGGATATTAAGATAAGATGGTTAATATGATTGATAATAAGACAAGATGGTTAATATGATGGATAAAAAGATAAGATGGTTAATATGATGGATAATAAGATAAGATGGTTAATATGATGGATAATAAGATAAGATGGTTAATATGATGGATAATAAGATAAGATGGTTAATATGATGGATAATAAGATAAGATGGTTAATATGATGGATAATAAGATAAGATGGTTAATATGATGGATAAAAAGATAAGATAGTTAATATGATGGATAATAAGATAAGATAGTTAATATGAGTTAAAATGAGATAAACCTTTAAAAATTTTTAAGATGGTTTTAAAATTTATGGATGAAACAATATAATATTACAATTTTAATATAACATTTATTACTTTATAGTGGTCTCCAACTCCTGTTCTATTTCGATAGGTGTTTGATTAATCTATTTGCAAATCCAAGTATGCCAATGGGTTAACACAGATTCTGTGCAACATATTTTGTTTAGCATAAATTCCATTTTTAATTTATGCGCAAAAAATTTTATTTTTTCAAACAAAAAAATTGAAAATTTAAATTAAAATTCACTAACAAAAAAAATATATATATATTCCCAATTTATGTTTATCTTGTAGTTCACTCAGAAAGTTCTCATCGAGTCTATTATTTAGAATGTTGCTTGATTTTAGTTAACTAAATCAGTCAAACAATTACTCAGCTTCAGAAAAGAAAGTTGTGAAATGTTATATTAAATTTCATATTTTATTTCATATTTTATTTTATTTTTGACAATTATTTTAGCAATTATAGCTTTATTGTTTATTGAATACCTTAGGGATTGCCTCAAAGTACGTATGCTTGGAAGGGAAGAGGGGTCTGCAAATGGCATATATGAGATGGAAGGACAGTGAGAAAATGTTAGATAAATAGGTTAAAAGCGTAGTTACTTTTAGGGAGATGGAGGATACTCAAAAAAGCGTATTGCAAAATGCAGGGAGGGAGGGGGGGGAGTTGATAAAAAAAAAGTACGTACTTTTTGGACGACCCCTAATTAAAAAATAGTGAGAGAGGAGACATTTGTTTTAAATACAAAAGATGTCTGTTTAATGTTTTAAAGGGAGCAGAAGCAACATCATCATCAAACTTTTTATAAATTATAGAATTCTATCTAAGTCATTAAATGGTGCATCTATTTTGTTTGCTACATTTGTACATTTACAAAAGTGGGATGATTTTTTTATATAACTTTCTTCACACTCTGCTAGGTCAGTAAAAGCAAGCAGTTTTGATATGTACAAAATTGTATTTATCCATCTAGTATGATGAAAGGCTCTAGGTCTGTGCTATCGTACATTTTTGTGTTTTGCATCGAGTAATTGCTAAGCAAGCATTAACATTCCAGAACCATTTATCCAACCTATATTTGGTGAGATAAATTTTATCCAAGCATCTTTACGGCATGTATCGTTATTGTTCTCTGATTTCTGATAATTGAATTTTGTAACAAGTGTCCCTTCAAGTCTACTTAGTTTTCTTGTTTCTACAATAGTCAATAGTCATTTTACTATCTATTCAGATACCAGCTTTAAAGTAAATGTAAGAGTATGCTAGTAAAAAAAATGTTTTCTTTTCATCTGAAACTTGTTGTAAAATTTCTTGATCTGCTTGTTGTGCTTCTTGATAATTTTTAACTATGGCTAAAACTTTTCTCTGTTAAATAGATTCAACCTATCAGCAAGAAAACTTTAGAATATTTTAATATTTTCAAATATTGCTAGTAATTAACTGTTAAGTGAATTCCTAAGTTATATTATTTTTTTGTACTAATATTATCTATGATATGTATCATAAATATTAATAATAAATGTAAATAGTTCAGTGTAATAGTAGTGCTTGATATTTTTAACTATAATATTAGTAAATACCATAGTTTAGAATTATAATATTGATCAATATAAGTGCTTACTTTGATAAGCAGCCTGGCATCTTACTGAAATAGGGGGCTGCTGGGGCTTCAGTAAATTTGGAATGGGTTCTATTCTTAAAAAAGTTTTTAACTAAAATTTGTTTACAATTTTAGTTAAAAACAACAATTTTTAAATTTTAACAATTTAAAAATTGTTTCAAAAAACACTAAAACCAATAAATATTTAGCAAAGCACATAAATACAAAATGTTTTTTAAAAATTCTTAAAACTCATAAAAGTGTAATATATTTTTGATTTATTTTTAATACAGTGCTATATTAATTTCTCTATTAAAATCAGCTTCAGGGGTTATGTAAAATATGTGAAAGAGAGGGTCTGGACAGGGAGGAAAGATATATTTTCTGTAATCAATAGTCAAAATCATATGGTTTTACGCATATTTAATATCTACGCATAAAAATCGATATATATAAAACTAGAAAAAACTTTAAATCAAGAGTAAAACTTGTTTTAAATTATAATACAACAATCCTAGTAAATTTTTGATCGTCTCTATTCTCTCTTTTAAAATTGTTTTTAACAAAAAAACATAAGAAACTAGACTTGTTCTTGCAACTTTTTCGTAATCTGTTACTTCCATGCCATTTTTGTTTTATTTTTTTAAATAATTTATTTTTAAAAAGAGAGGTCCTATGCCGTTTTTCCTCAGAAAAAAGGCATGGGACCTTTGGCCCATTTTGACCATGCCTTTTTTCCTCAGAATTTCCTTTCCTTTGTTTATTAAATCTTGAGCTAACTTAACTGCCACCTCAGAGAAGTGATTAACAATGTCCCTTGACTGTTCTAAATTCTAACAATGTCCCTTGACTGCTCTAAATTCTATTGTTTTTGTTAATTGTTGAATTTTCAAAGTTCTAGTGGAATTTTCATCTGTCAAGTTTCTGCCTTTCTATGTCAAAAACTAGCCACGACTTTTCTGTTGTTAATAGAGTCAAACTAAGAAGCTCATCTTTACGGAAGAGGCTATTCAACATAGCTTGGTCCATTATCTGGTACTCCAAAGAAAACTGTCGCTTAGACATATTTGTAAACTATACAGTTTTCAGCCATATCACCACGTTCTCTATATTCTTCTGCTAGGGATAGCCAATATCACTTTCTCTTTATTTACCATATCACCACATTCTCTTCATTCCTCTGCTAGGGCAAAAACTACCAAAGTATGTCTGAGAATAGAGCTTGAAGCAGCTGAAGAGCCAAGTAGATTACATTTTTCAAACCTTTTCATTTGCCTGTAAGCTTTCATGTCCTAATAAATTATATTAATTAATATTTTGAATCACTTTAATCAATAATGAGCTTTCTAACTTATTATTAAGATATTAAAAGACCGCATACCTGTGTTGGTGCCAAGAAACCTTGCTTTGTTTTTAGAAACCACTCTGTATAGAAATAGAAAAGATAAATGAATAAAGCCATAGGAGTTATTTCCTTTTTGTGTTTGTCAGTCAGGTTTCAAAATTCATTCATTAAAAAATTTTTAATTATTATTTTTTAAGTATTTTTAAAGGTTTATACTATTTAAAGTTCATTAAAAGAATTTTAAATAGTATAAACTTTTTCCAATAAATTTTATATGGCAAACTGGTCCTGGTGAAATTTAGTCCTATTTCAGAAGCTGTTCTAGGAAAACAATTTGGGTGGTGATATCCGCGTGTTCCAATGCTTGTTGTAAGGTTACATTGATAAAAACATTGCAAAATAAAATCATTTTTCTGCCAAAAAAAACAATACTTGCCAATTAAATGAAATTAAAAAAAGTCATCAAGTTTTGAATTTGGGGCCCAAATACTTCAAAATTGATCAAAGACAATATATTTGTTTCCTAATTTGTCTCTGGTGTAACTAGCAAAACTTAGATAATTTAAACCATTCTTATATATCTCTGCGGATAGATTTTTATTTAAGTTTGATATATTTTTTTTACTTCTTTAAACAGAACATTTTTATCTCAAAGTCTTCCTTTTCTTTCACCAAACTAATTTTTTAAGAAAACAGTATCTTTCTCCTTATCTTTCATTTTTCTCATTTTATCTTTTAATTTTTCTTTAAACATACCATGAAGGTATTATCCAATCCAAAATACTTTATTAATTTGCTCTTTAAATAAATGTCTTTTATTTACTTCAGCAATATTTATTCTTTATTTTTTCTAAACTAAAAATATATTATCCATTCTAATCCTTAAAAAATATATTTTAATAAAACATTATTTACTGAAAAATTTTAAAACTTTATCAAAAAAAAAAAAATGTAAAAAAATTTTCAGTGTAAAAATATTTTTATTTGTTAAATATTTATTTATTTTAGGGTTTTTAAAAATAATTTTTATAAGTTAAAATTATTTTTGAGAATAGAGCCCATTTTATTTTGATTAAATAAGTCTTTATGATCATAAATATATATATATATAAAAATATTCAAAATTTTAATGATTAGACTTTTAAAAAAGGTACAAAACATCCTAAATATTGTCTTTTTTACCCCCTGAAGGGACCATTAAGGGTTTCAAAAAATTAAAAAAAAAAAAAATTTTAATACTAAATCATGGTCTGGGCAGATAATAAGCTAGGGCTCTTTTTTTTTTCAGACATGACCCTTTTTGAAACACCCTAATATATACATATAGCCCTTGGAATTAGGGTCGGCCTCATGAAATTCTTGCCGCATTTTTTCTAATTCCAAGGGTTGTATATATGTATATATATATATATATATATATATATATATATATATATATATATATATATATATATATATTAAAGTATTGCGATATCAGTATCGTAGTATCGAAACATGCTAAAATATCGACATTTTGACCAGGTTCGATATTGAATTGTCGATATTGTAATTTTTTTAATAATATCGAAGTTTCGATATTATTCGATATCCTTTCACAGCAATATCGAAAGATTCTCGATATTCAAATTAAAATATCAATACTAATATTCAAACTTTAATAAAAATCAACTGTTATACTCTAAACTGTCCCTCCTAAAATTTCCCAGCTAAACTTTCCCGCCAAACTGAAAAGTAATTAAAAATACTAAAAATTAAGTGTAAATTAAAAATTGGGTAAAGCTATAGTTAAGCGGCCTAAAATAATTATATTTTTTCGCTTTTTAAAAACACGATGGAGCGTATTTTTAAAGCGAAACTTAATTATGTTATGTAATAATAAATGTTACGGGTTGTGAATTTGAAATTAAAAGATTTAATTAAAAGTTGAAGTTTTATATTAAAGTTGAAGGTAAATAAATAATAATTATAATCAAAGTAAATATAAATTATAATCAAAGTAAATTGTAAGTAAATTATAATCAAAGTTTAATTATTAAATATAATAATTATAATCAAATTATAATCAAATTAAATTATAATCAAGGTAAATTATAATCAAAGTTTTGATATTATAATAATAAATATATTTTTATAAATAAAATATAATATAATAGTAATAAAATTAAAAAAAAAATAATAGCAAATAATATATAAAAAATAATAAGAAAACAATATATAAAATAAAGCATAAAACATTAAATTCCGCAAACAACTTATTTCTAAACAATAAATTTACTTTGCTCTTATTAGAATAAAATAAATCTTCTTTGCTTTTATATTTTTTTAATATTTTAAAGTCTCTACGAACGAGAGCGCAAAAAGCGAAACAGTAAATTTAATTTAGGCCGCTTAACTGTAGCTTTACCAAAAATTGATGTCTTAATTTTTGTTCAATACTCAAATACTTTTGATATAACCTTATAAATATTTTTTTCAAAATTAGTTACTAATAGAAGTTATAAGTGAGAAAAGTTGTGATATTTTTTGTTGAAAATGCCAAGAGTAAGTCCCTTTTGGGCGTATTTTTTAAGAGACACACCAAAAAAAGATATTGCTCAGTGTAAGCTATGCCCAACACAAATAGGCACCAAACAGAGCACTACGACTGGTTTGAAGGTTCACATCAGAGGTTGTCATAATGAAATTTTTCTCAACATTGGGAAAGAAAATTTAAAACAAGCACCAGAAACAACAGCTGAGCAGCTTGCACTAGAATCAATTTTGGACACTCATGGGCCAATAGCTCTAAGTGCAAAAAGAGTAAAGATGGACATTTCATCTTATTGCAAGGTTGTGACAAAATATGGAACAAACGACAAGCGACAGTTAATAGCTGACTTGGATATTGTGAAATATTTGTGCATGGGAAATTTAGCTTTTCCACATGTTTCATCACCTGCTTTTAAAGACTTTTTATTAAGCCTTCGTCCAGAAATTATTATTAGAGCACCATCAACATATTCAAGAAACAAACTTCCAATCCTTTATTCTAATGTTTTTGAGGCAGTATTTAATGTTTTAACACATGACTTAAAAGATGTAGATGCAGTTGGATTTACTTCAGATCTTTGGTCCAGCAAAAGCAATGAGTCATTTGCAGCCTTGACGCTTCATTATATTACAACTGACTTTGAACTAAAGACTTTTTTGCTGGGCTGTAATGCTTTTCCAGACAGCCACACAGGTGACAATATTTCAATTAAAACAGACATTAATTTCTGTTCTACCTTTCAATAATGGTTGTAAAATGACTTCTGTCACAGATAGTGCAGCAAACATGATATCTGGGATGAAAAAATCGGCCAAAATTGATGAAAGTATTTCCTGCATTGCACATTTACTTCACCTTGTTATTATCAAATCTGTCAAAGAAGTCGATAAGATTGAAAAAGTTTTTCAGGTAAAAAAAATGTTTAGTCATTTTCTCCTCTTGTTTACGAAACTATGAAAAATGCGATAGTCTATTTTCTCAATAGTAAAAAATTTTAAAGAATGCATCAATACCATTTACCTGCATAAAGGTGCAACCAACAAATGAATAACTTTCAAATCCTATGTTTTTTTTTGTTTATATATTTTTTTTAACCAAAATAATTTTTTATTTCAAGGTGTGCAAAACTCTCTCAGCACGAACTCACAAATCAATCAACAGTCAACAGAGAATTATGGAAGCATGTAATGATGTCATACCTGAGAAAATCAAATTTAATAAGATTATTTCTCCTTGTCCTACACGTTGGAATAGTGGTTTTATGTGCATGGATTCAATATTACATTTACGATTAGCTCTTGAAATAATTGCAAGCAGCAACCTTAAAACGGACGACATTTTAAGAGCTTTAATTCCATCTTCTGATGAGTTTGATGTTATTGAAAAAGTAGTGCCGATCATGAAACTGTTTAATGATTTTACAGAAGTTGTTTCATCTGAAAAAATCCCAACTTCTCAGAGAGTTGTTCCAGGACTGTTTGATATTCAAGAGAATATTAAAAAGCTTATACTGCCAAATGACAAAATTACAGGAGACTTTGTTTCTAAACTCCTTTCAAATCTTAACAAACGATTTCCAGACTGTGGTTCAAGACAAAAAAACAATGCTTTAGCTCACTTACTTGATCCCAAATTTAAGGGTCTCCTTTTGACAAGGTTTGGCCAAGACGATGTCGCACTCAGAGATTTAAAAGAAATTTCAATAGGAAAGCAACCATCAAATTTGATTGAAAATACAACACAAACAGTGTCACCCAAACAAGATTTGTCTCCTGCCGAACAACTTCTTTTTGAAATGATGGGTCAGGATTCTAATGCCTCTGAGCTTTACAGATCATCAAAAGATTCTCCATTTGATATAGAACTAGAAGCTTACAAGAGGCTTGGATTTCCAGATAAAAATTACAATATTTTGGAATGGTGGAAAATTCATTCACCTCAACTTCCAATTTTGTCTAGAGCTGCTAAGAAAGTCTTGTGTGTCCCAGTGTCATCAACTTCTTCAGAGCGTGTGTTTTCACAAGCCAGAAATATTGTGTCATGTAAAAGAACTTTACTAAAAGCCGAGACAATAGAAAAACTTGTGTACGTTAAAATCAGCATTAGTAAAGTTACTATTAAAAAATGGCTAATCGAGGAAGAAAATGTTTCATCAGCTGACGCGATAGACTAATTTTTGTTTTGTAAAACTGTTTATGAAAAAATATACAATTAATTGAGCTATAATTTTTTTTCCAAATTGCTAAAACATATTTCAAATATTGAAGATAACTTACGGTATTAGACCCTTCAAATTCCTCTATTTAGAAAAAATGGGTCTTGAACACAAAAATAGCATTCTAAAATTCTAGAATCTCGTTTAATATCGTATAATATCGTAAAATATCGAACTGAATATCGATAAGTTCGAAATTCA